CTGAAGTTGCAGCAGGTTTCTTCTTGGAAACAGCAGGTTTCTGTGTGACAATAGTAAAGGAAGATTAGAACCATCCAAAGTGTGTGTATGCGTGTGTACAACAAATTCTAGTCTAGTATTGAAATTCTAGAAAATAACAAGTACATTATTTGCATACAGAAAAATTCTAAATCCACAAGCATCAAATTCAAGATAAAGCAGTATGCAATGTATAAGAATACTAGGTCATTCAATTTCTTCCCAAGACATGCTCTACAAAGATTTATCGCCACACTTACTTTTAAATACTAAGACTTATTTTTAAAGCTGAATGCTGTGCATACATACCTAATGCTTATCTTTATAATCAATAGATATATGTACGCTAGTTAGTCTAACCCTACTATATGCTTACATCTTCGTCATCGCTATCACTCTCAGAAGAGCTATCACTTGGCACAGCCTTCTTTTGGGGAGCAGGTGCAGGTTTCTTTACAGTGGCAGCCGCCTTCTGCAAAGATCAAGCAAAATATAGCATTATACGGGAATCATGATAGTTAGAAAAAGGATATAATATTCATAGGCTGAGTTCTATGTCAGGCAATAGCCTCAAGAGGGTGTGCTAGGGAATATGTAATGCACAGGGTAGTACCCATGTTTATTAAGTTCTGAGTTCACTCAGAATTTGTAAAAAAGAGCCCAGTCGGCACTTCTCTTAGCAAAATGGAACATAACGTAGAATAGAAACAGAAAATAATTGTGGTTAAAATACTAAAATAAACGTAATACACAAAGAAAAGAAAAGCAAAAAAGACACAACTATTGGCCATGTTCAAGACGGCTCCTTTTTAAAACAATGGATTAAAAAAGATACACACATATATTACCCATATATAATAGAAAGATTGTACAATTATAACAAATGATAAACACTTTGTAAGTTCTCACCTAGCCTAAATTGTTTGATAGACAAGAAAGGTTAAGTAACAAAAATCTAAAATTATATCTAATATTCAAAGATTTTCTAAAAACAAAATAACATAACAATTTGCTTAAAATGAAGTCAAAATATTTTTTCAAGGCAACAACAAAGGTGGTAAATTCAATATTTTTTTTAAGAAAAGAACATGTTTTTTTCCGCTCATCTTTATCTTTAAGCAGAGTTATGGACATAAAAGCATCAAAACTTTTCATCTCTGTTGAAAAACAAAAATTTTCTGGAAAAAAGGGCCGGCAAATATGTTACTCACTGGTTCATCATCCGCGCTACTATCTGAATCTGAACTGTCACTTGAGTCCTCTATCTTCTTAGAAACAGCAGCTGCACCATTTTTAGCTCCAGTTGCTGGCTTCTTCAGTGGGACGGATGCCTTAGCATCAATTTCCTGCAGCAATAGGACAATTCGCATCTCAATATGCAAATGAGGTAGTTATTTACACCAAGTAGCTTGACCAAAGCAATGCAAAAAATAACAGGAGAAATGAAAATACAAGTCCTGTTATTCACCAGATCACCTGCTGTACTGTTGCACATAGAGAATATATGCTTACGCAGAAATGACTAAGTTTGATAGCTAACTAGATTATATAGTGCATTTACAACTATGACAAATACTTCAACAAAGTCGCATCAGGTGCAAAAGTGCTCCAATAACTGTTCACATATCTGAAATTTCAAAAAAGCCTATTTCCATCATCTGAACTACATCAGATACATTAACTAGCCTGGAACCTGAACATGATGATGTAGTTCAACATTGATAGCCTCCATCTAGCAAGTCAATGGAGGATTCATCTAAGCACAATATTTTGGCTCAAAAACATCGACATTCTCCATGCCAATAGATAGAGGATCTTTTGCCATAGAGAAGCTTCTTCCACAAGATCCAAAAGAATATAAGAACAAATAAATAAGATGGGCACTAGGAAAACAGGCTGTCATTATGGACTTCAAAAGGAGATTAGGATAAAATACCAGGAACTTGCTAACAAAATTTCATTACCTCATCAGAAGATTCTTCACTGCTGCTAGATTCTTTTGCAGGAGTTTTCACTGGTTTCTTGACAATCTTGGTTGGAACTTTGACCTTGAAAAAACATGACATTATAGTCCATAAACTAAAAAATAGAGTAGGGAACGATATTTTTCGTTGGTCGCAAAACAAACAAATGAGTGAATATCTTGGCTGTTACTGTACGAATAAAATTAAAGTGGAAAAAGGGAATGCGGGAGACTTGATAATACAGTTTAAAATACAGGACTCCAGAGAAGGAAACAAGAAATGAAAATCCACATTTAAGTTAAAAAAACTTGCATTGTTATTTATTGTGGAATTCAAAACTAAGACAAAGAAATGAGATGCTCCAATTCCTTGTTTTGGTGGTGGAAATCGAAGTTTAGACATATGCAGTTTAAAAAAAAGAACTAAAAGTATTGGTCTATATGGACTTTGATACATAATACATTGTTCTGGGAGTTTATGTAAGGTTAACATTCTAAAAGATTAAATATTCTGGATTCGAAAAAGCAATTGAACACAGTATATACATCTAACCATAGAGAATAATTTGGAAATTTGAAATGCTAACTTACGATATGGACTACGGGTACTTAAATTAACGTAACAAAGTCAAATAGAAACTAAGGATTACATAATTTTCAGTGCAATTTGAAATTTAATATGAAACAAAGAGAACAACATAATTTTGTGCCAAAAAGACAGAACATGTTATGTTGCATTACTAATGGCAAACCAACTAGCTAGAGCCTTTCCACTACATCACAATTCTAAAAGGAACTTGTTGGCAAATATAACTACCTCCTCTTCAGATTCCGATGATGAATCATCTTCCTCGGAAGAACTAGATTCGACTTTTTTTGGTGGAGGAACCTTTTTCTTAACTTCTACTTCTTTCTTCTGCACGTAACAAAGTCAACTAGAAACTAAGGATGACATAATTTTCAGTGCAATTTTAATTTTAATATGAAACAAAGAGAACATAATTTTGTGCCAAAAAAGGACAGAACATGTTATGTTGCATTACTAGTGGCAACCAACTAGCTAGAGCCTTTCCACAATAACACAATTCTAAAGGAACTTGTTGCCAAATATAGCTACCTCCTCTTCAGATTCCGATGATGAATCTTCTTCCCCGGAAGAACTAGATTCGACTTTTTTCGGTGGAGGAACCTTTTTCTTAACCTCTACTTCTTTCTTCTGCACGTAACAAAGTCAACTAGAAACTAAGGATGACATAATTTTCAATGCAATTTTTAAATTTAATATGAAACAAAGAGGAACAACATAATTTTGTGCTAAAAAAGGACAGAACATGTTATGTTGCATTACTAGTGGCAGACCAACTAGCTAGAACCTTTCCACAATAACACGATTCTAAAGGAACTTGTTGCCAAATGTAGCTACCTCCTCTTCAGATTCTGATGATGAATCTTCTTCCTCGGAAGAACTAGATTCGACTTTTTTCGGTGGAGGAACCTTTTTCTTAACCTCTACTTCTTTCTTCTGCACGTAACAAAGTACAGAAAAGGATGACATAATTTTCAGTGCAATTTTGAAATTTAATATGAAACAAGGAGGAACAACATAATTTTGCGCCAAAAAAGTACAGAACATGTTATGTTGCATTACTAGTGGCAAATTAACTAGCTAGAACCTTTCCACAATAACATAATTCTAAAGGAACTTGTTGCCAAATGTAGCTACCTCCTCTTCAGATTCCGATGATGAATCTTCTTCCTCGGAAGAACTAGATTCGACTTTTTTCGGTGGAGGAAGCTTTTTCTTAACTTCTACTTCTTTCTTCTGCTTCTTGACGCTTGCCGCTTTTTCCAAGGCCTCTTCTGCTTCCCTCTTAGCCCCTAAAGACCACCGAACAAGGTTCTTTCAGTCACAAACAGTTACATTGAAAACCCAATAAATAAAATATTTGGGAAAAAGAAAAGAAAATACCCTTTTTAGAAGGCTTCCCATCTGAAACAGGAGTAGCCATAGCAACCTAAAAAATTGGACCAAATCCAAATTATGAATAAAATTAATAATTTAACTGAAAATATATCTTCAGAGATTGCATATGTTATCAGTACCTTAGCATCAGATTTCTTGCCGGACTTGCCCATTGTGTTAACTAAGCTGCTGCCAAATAGGTTGAACATTCAGATATTACAGAAAAAATAAATAAAAACTTTCCAATTACAGAAACTTTTCAGGCAAAAATCAAACATGCGTTGATGTGTAAGATATTCACTAGTATGCGAAATTGGTAGAATTTGCATTATTCTGATTGGTTCCACGATCACCACTAGTCTCAGATATCACGCCAATAAAAAAGATCGCTTTTTTACAAAACTTTTCAGGGCAAAATCAAGCATGCGGTTGCGATTTTCAGCAGATTTTCAAATTTTCATAAATTCGAAATAAATACCGTGTTTTATTTTACTTCTTTTACTTCCACTATCTAGGCTACATCGATTAAGACAGAGATTAGGGTTTCATAAAAAATTAAAAAAAGACACCATACAATAAAAAATCGTAAGGGGTTGAGAGGCGACGGAGGAGATGATTCGTTACCTTAGGAGGAGGGGACGAGAGAGAGGAAGCAGACGCCGGAAGAGCTAAAACCCTTGAAATTGGGATTAGGGTTTTTGATCGATCCCGGATGCGCGGGCTTTATACGTTCTGATGGCATGAAGGGGTATTCCTGTCATTTTCATAGTGAGGAGATCGGGTTTGCTCGCGAGGTTCTCTGACCGAGTTTAAAGTTGGGCCGGGCCGTTTGGTTTTTGGAAGGTGAAGTCGGAAAGTTGTAAATCATCGGGGCCCCGTCAGTGTTCACCGATTTACCTTAAGAGCAGGCCTGAAAGCCTGCCCAGCCCGACCCTTAAGGATCCTGTCAGGATTAGTTATAAGGTCGGGCTAGGCAGAAGGCCCAAAACTCATACGAAAATTCAGACCTTTACCAAAATCTAGGCCTAAAACCAGGCGGCTGCAATACCTTAGGCCTCCATTAAATAAAGAGAAATATTTAAGCTAGGGTCAAAACCAGGCCTAATATTATTGGGCCTCACTAATTAAAATCACCTACCCTTAATTCAGCTCCGCTTGATAGGGCTCGGCCCGCGCCTGGCCATGAAGCACAGCTGGCAGCTGGATGGGTCGGGTTTAGACAGCTCCCAAATCCATAAACAGAGGGCCAAACTCGACCCGAAAAGGCGTGGGTCCGGGCTGAGCCTACCCGATGGCCAGGTCTAGATTTACTCAGTTTAGTTGCAGATTGCAACTTTATTGTATTGCACATAGAGTTATGAGTTCGATCCCCATCTCTCTCCATCACTAAGGTGGCGTTTGGTTGTTTGCAACTAGAGTTGCAATGCAAGTGTCACTTGCATGCAACTGAGACGTTGCAACTCTTCTTACATGCAACTACAGTTGCAATTGTTTGGTTTAAAATTTAAATTTTGCAACTTATAGTTGCAGTTGTTTGATTATGCTTATAACTTAACATATGCAACTCATAAAATATTTTTAAAAAATAATATTTTTTAAAAAGTAATATATTTTTATAAAATAATATATTTTTAAAAAATAATATAATTTTAAAAAATAATATAATTTTAAAAAATAATATATTTTTTAAAAAGAAATATAATATTTTAAAAATAATATAATATATCATTTAAAATATATATTATTTTTAGAAAATTATATTATTTTAAAAATACATTATTCAAAAAACATATTACTTTAAAAATATATTGTTCAAAAAATATATTATTTTAAATATATATTATNTATATTATTAAAAAAATATATTATTCAAAAAATATATTATTTTAGAAAAATAATAGTATTCCTGGAAAATTTTATTTTTCAAAAAATATATTATTTTAGGAAAATATATTATTTTAGAAAAATTATATTATTCAAAAAATATATTATTTTTAAAAAATATATTATTTTTAAAAAAATATTATTTTAAAAAATAATATATTATTTTAAAGATAACATATTACTTTTAAAACTAACATATTATTTTGAAGAAATTATTATAATAATAATTATTTTAAAAGATTGATGTTGTTTTTTTTTAAAAACGTTTTTGAAGAAATTATTATAATAAGAATTATTTAAAAGATTATTTTAAACCTTAAATGAATTTATTTTTGAAATATTAAGTAATGATTTTGATTTTAATAAATTTAGGTCGGTTGCAACTAAGTTGTAACTATGACTTGCGGTCATTTTTTACGTAAGTCATATGTTGCAACTAAGGGTTGTTTTGCAACTGTGGTTGCAGCTGTAACTGTGAGTTGCAGCAAAACAAACACATGCAACTAGTTAAATTGGACCTAGTCGCATGCAACTGGAGTTGCAACCACTCCAGTTGCAGCCTACCAAACAGCCCCTAAATGTGAAGGTTCATTTACCTCCTAAACTACCCAAACCACTGTGTGATCATATACTTCCCACATGCTAACTTGTTGTGGTTCATCTTCTATATCCTCTTGGATTGCATCTAATAATAAACTATAGTGACATAGCTTCTTCCACCGCCTGATATTCTACTAATGTATAAAGGTTTGCATTCTTTCATCGAAAGATTATAGTTTATGTGAAAGGCGACAACTTTCCTATTTAGTTTTCTTCAATTTGGCTCCACTTTTGTATAAAGAGCTCACATCTTACATATATTTGAAATCGTCATTCTAATGTGATTGTTAGATCCAAATGCTAAAAGGTGATGAAATTATACTTAGTGTGTTGCTACGGGGACCCAAATAGAGGACCCAAGGCATGGAACAGATGAAATTATGCTAAAAGGTTATAGTCTACGTATTTTGTCGTTTTGTTGACTTGTACGCTTCACTGATTCGCTTCATGCGTTTCGTGAACGCACGGGTCACTTGATGGTGGCCGACGGGCTTGCAAGCCACTTGGTTCGCCGTTTCGATGGCCGGTGAGCACGTGTGCCATTTGGAGCTGGCTGACGAGTGCGCAGGCCACTTGGAGGTGGCTGGTGAGCGCACGGGCCACTTTGTTTGCTATTCTGGTGACCGATGAGCGTGCGGGCCACTTGGCGGTAGCCGGTGAGCACGCGGGCAACTTGGCGTTGGCCGTTCTGGTGGTTTGTCGCCACGTCATCAACGGTTCATTGATTCGCTTCATGCTCTTGTCGGCATCAGACGATGCTCTTTAACTCGGATAATCCTCTTCGATTTGGATAATGACGTTCATCGCATTCTCTTTGTCTCGAGCTATGTGCGGACACCTATAGGCATTTTTAGACGCCTACAACCTCCTCTTCCACTTCCTGAAAAGGAGGGATTACTCCGTCTCATCTGTACCCTGTAAAAATTCTCGAGTTAGAAAATCAGGAAGATGATTATAATCTCCTTTAATATATTCAATTTTGAATTGGTACATAGCTAATTCAGCTTGCCATCTAGCAAATATTTGCTTAGAGACTAAATTTTTAACATCTTTTTCAATAATGCTTTTAGCAGAACTACAGTCAATTCTTAGTAAGAATTATTGATTTAAGATATCATCTCGAAATTTAGAAAAGCATTTGATTATAGAAAGCATTTCTTTTTTAATTATGGAATAATTAAATTGGGCTTTATCCCATTTACCAGAAGTAAAACGAACTAATTGTTCTTTATTGGTTTGGGGATCAACTTGTTTTAATATTCCTCCATAACCAATATTAGAAGCATCAGTTTTAACTATTTTGAACCAATGAATATTAGCAAGATGAATGTAAGGTAAACATTTAACTTTTAAGTTTTATTCTTCTTTACTACAGCAGTATGATGCTCAGTCCAAGGCTTAGCATTCTTTTTAAGCCTATCATATAAGAGAACTGTATCTTGTGCTAGATTTTTATAATACTCTGCAACATGGTTTAATGCTCCTAAAAATCGTTGTAACTGTTTAGTATCAGTTATTTCATCAGGAAATTTTGATACAAACTCAATGCTACGATCAATAGGAACTATAGTTCCCTTTTCAATATTAAGACCCAGAAATCTAATCTGAGTTTGAAATAATTTCATCTTTGAGGCAGATATAGCTAACACATTTTTAATAGCTAGATTTCTAAAAATTTCTAAGTGTTTGACATGTTGGTCAAAGTTATGAGAAAAAATAAGTATATCATCTATATATGATAATATAAAATCCGTATAAGGAAGAAAAATTTCATTCATAATATTTTGGAATTCAAAAGGGGCGTTTTTAAGCCCAAATGACATAACATTCCATTCATAGTGTCCAAATGGGATAACAAAGGTAGTTTTATATTTATCTTTTTCTTCTATTTGAATCTGCCAATAGCCTGATTTTAAATCAAACTTTTAAAATATTTTTGCATTATTAATGCGATTCAATAAATTCCTTTTGTTAGGAATCGGATATCTAATCCATTTAAGGACAATATTTAGAGGTTTATAATTTATAACTAATCTAGGAACACCTCTTTCTCTTTCACCTGCATTATTTACATAAAAGGCAGTGCAGCTCCAAGGAGAGTATGACTTTCTTATTAATATTAGTTATAATTTATAACTAATATTTTTTAATTAATTCATGATTTGATTTAATAATGTTTATTGATAGTCCATTCATTTGGACTATAACTTTCCAATAGTCAACTTCTTGATTATAGTTATTAACTGTACATTTACAACTTTCTTCTTCCTCAGATTCTGAGGTTGATGAATATGATTCATCTTCAGTATCACTGTTAATCATAATTTTATGTAACATTCTTTTAAGACCTTCGTCTTCTATTTTCTCAATATTTTTCTTTGTATAACAAAGATTAGCATAGTGTTCAATATAGGCACATTTATAATAGTGTATTTTATTTTTCACTTTTTAATTTTCTTTTTAGCCTTATCTGCCTTTTCTCTTTCTTTTTCTTTAAAAATTTTCTTTTTCTTTTTCTTATTGCAAGCATAGTGTTCAATATAGGCACATTTATAATAGTGTATTTTATTTTTCACTTTTTAATTTTCTTTTTAGCCTTATCTGCCTTTTCTCTTTCTTTTTCTTTAAAAATTTTCTTTTTCTTTTTCTTATTGCA